TTTTTTTTTTTTTTAATTGTGAATCCGAGATTTTTTCGCCGAAAATTATTGTGTGAAGTGAATTTTTTTTCCTCCGTATGAGTATGAATTTCGTCGCCAAAAATGTTATGGCGAGCAAATTTTTCCTTGCTCCATATGAGTACAAAATCTTCGTCATAAATATTGTTTGTGGAGTTATTTTTTTGGAGGCTTGTATTTGTACGAAGTCAGTCCTTTTTAATTTTATCAAAATCCAAAAAACGTTAGGAACTTAGTATTAATAATATAATCTGGTTGTGGTCGCTTATTTTCGTATTTTACTTTTTACTGTCGTCCTTACCAACTTATGTTTCATTACTACTCCTACTTATTATAGGTGGGAGAGTCTATTAACTATAGAATAGGTGTGTTCCACCATAACACTCTATTGCTCTTGATATCCCCTATCTCTATTGCTCTTGATATACCCTAGCTCTTGATATCCCCTATCTCTCTTGCTCTTGATATCCCCTGTGAGTGTTGAATACTCCAATACTTCCTTCCTCATTATATGTTCCTTAATTTCAGCTGTCTCTTTCTGATTCTGTGTATAAGTGTCCATTTTGTTTACATTTTCCTTAAGACTTTTTCGTTGCTTACGTGCTCCATTCATGGTAATCTCAGCATCCTTCTGTAGATCCAGATTTCTGTTACTCTCAGTCTTCTCTTCATCTGTGAGGAAATTTTCTAGCATTCACTACTATATAGGAGAATTTAAAACATAACTGTCCAGCACTATTTTCATTGTTTCTAACAAAATGCACATTTAGATTTCAATGTCACATTTTCAATTCACTGTTAAAACATTTCCCGTATATTTAAACTTTTGTACTTGTTTGATTTTGACATCTCCAATTCATAGATTGCATCTTGGGCTTTTTCTCTTCTTGATAACAAAATATTCTGTCTTCTTACATTTGATTATTAGTCCTTTCTTCTTGCTTTCCTTTACTACTTTGTCCATGGAGGTCCTGTAGTTTTTTCCTCTGTATCCACCATCAACCCAATATCATTTGTGTATCTTATACAGATAAGATTGCAGCCAATGATAATAAATCCTTGGATGATCTCCAGATCCCTTAGCATAGTCTCACTGTAGAGGTTGAACAAATCTGGAGAGAGGTCATATCCTTGTCTTATGCCCCTCTCTATTTTTGTGTACCTCTAGATATGAGATGAGGATCTTGGAAAGAAATTTAAAGTAAAGTAAAAGAGGTTTAGAGAAAATGTTATCTGACTTTTAAAAAACAGAATTCCAGTGATAAGTTCTTTTGCCCCCAACAGATTGTGGTATGAAAAGCAAGTTAATTCAGATCTTATTTGCAATTTAACTGAAACTCATGGAATCCAATCTTTTCATATCACACTTAATCATCACTCTAAGCTGATATTTAATCAGATCACCTTGAGAAAAGGATTAAATTCTGTAAACATTCAACCCATGGCTAGAAGAGAAAGAAATACTATTTCTTCCATCCAGGACCATGAAACCAGCACATTGTCACACACATACTTGATGTCAGATTGAAGTGTTTGGTTTGGGGTCATTACTTAAGGTTGAGTTGCTGTGTGTTGATAAACAAAAACTACAAATGTTGAATTGGTTGAGAAAAGAGAATGAATAAAATGAGATAGAAATTTTTATTATATCAGGAACTTTTATTATGGACAATGTTCAAGGATAGTTAAGAGAGTGTAAATTCAAGGAATGTTCCTATGATAGTCTGTGAAATAAATGAAGAAATGGTTGAACTTATTCCATTTATGAGATAAAGAGTGAGTGAGGTGCTTTGTCTAAATCATGTGTGTCTGTTCTTGGAGCACTAAGTTTAGCATCCTATTTTGTGTCTGGTATGGTATGAAAAGGGGGCTAGCCTCTTTGGATTCACACTGTGCATACTTCCAGTTTTTTACACATGTCCAAAAGCTGAAAAGGGGTTACTACTACTAATAGGGTTTTCAACATATGTACAACCAGTGAAACCATCTGCTACAACATACGGAAACTAATCATGCTCCTTGCAAGCCACAATCCCAACAATATAATCCAAAAGTGGAAAAAGTTATGCTCAAATGCTTCCTCCATACCACTGCTGCACTGGTTGCAGTCAAGTAGACCTGCATTACGTATCTTGTGATGTGCACACTATCTCTTTTGTCCAGTGGATCTAAAGCATAGTGTCTTTCAAGGGATTAAATGTTTGCTAGGCTGAGGAATTTGTAGCCATATCATTCAAGACACTATTTACATTTAATGTTTCATCTTATTTTCAAACATTTACTGCTGATAAGTTTGAACTTAGAAGACAGGTCACATGATGTATCATCTAATTTATTGGCCAATGAAAATACTCTATACTTCATAATTCTTGGAGTCATTAATATGTTTAAACAGGCAAAGGATGAGATTAATGTGTTTTTGATTGGTGAGTTAAAATTTTTATATACCAAAATTCGATTAGTGCATACATAATACTTGATTAGTGTGGTAAAACATACTTCAGTTTAACCATAGTAATTGAAAATTTATTTTTTTTATAGTTACCGATGTATACATTAGCTGCATTAATTGAGGGATTCCTGTATATATATATGTATGTGTGTCTCTGTGTGTGTGTGTGTAAATAGGATACAGAAATCCTGAAAACGTTTTTAAGAAATTTGACAAATGGAAAATGTTTCATTGGAAATAAATTTGATTCACTATTTACATTATTCAGACTATTGTCCTCATCTTTGTTGCCATAATTATCACAATGTTTCAGCCGATGTATGGTCCAGCCTTCTTCAAGTGGTTGGAATGTCGAACTGAAACCTTTCTTTCGCTTGCTGGGGTAGACTGTTCTAGTTCCACATGCCATGTATAATGGATGTCAGTTATCAGTTATCTCCTTTTAATTCACCTCTCCAAGTTCTTCACTGCCTTAATCAGGTATTGAACTCACAACTATTTGGGTCCTGTCACTGGATCTAACCAACACCTTTATCCACTGTGCCATGTGTCCTTAACCATGGAAGAAGGCAAGGGGCATTTGAATTGATATATAATGTTCATTTTACGTAATACATCAGTTGGTGGGGAGGAGTTATTCTGGATAATTAATTTGGTTGTATTGTATTTTTATAATATATGATTAATTTTATTTTTTTATTAGGATTCATGGAAGATATATTACTACAAATGAGATGTTTTATGATTTTTTCATCCTGTTTGTAGTTAGCATGTATCTGGATACAACATAATAATTTGATATATTTAGGGTCCTTTGAGGAAGTACCATATTCTATTTGACGTGTTATTTTCATAGTTATGGCACATTTCTCATATCATTTAATTGCAATACACAGACGGTTACCGTGAGTATGAACGGATTTTATTAAAAATATGCAAACATAATGTCTGTAATTTATTTAATATACATATATATATATATATATATATATATATATATATACATACACACTTTAAAAATTAGGAGATCAGATCTCATCTCTTAATTTTTAAAGTTAAAAAGCTCTACATATTATTTTTTTTACAAGTGTGTTGAGCACTTTTCAATACTACTGTTTCCTGGTCCAAATCAGCTCTCACCATTAGCTTTTTATGTATATATATATATATATATATATATATATATATATATATATATATATATATATATATATATATATATATATATATTTATACATATATATATATATATATATGGATATATATATATATATATAATATAAGTTTTCTTAAAGACCACAGAAAGGGGATTTTTTTAAAAAGTTTTTAACACAAATATATATATTTATATATTTTACAATATACACAAGCATACACATACACACACACACATATATATATTTTAGGCATGTCTGAGTGAGTAAATTACAGACATTATGTTTGCTAATTTTTAACAAAATCCATTCATACTCATGAATAACCTTCAGTGTATTGATGTTGAAGGATGAGAGAAATGTGCTATAGCTGTTTAAATTTCTTTTATTTTCATTTCCCAAGTACTTTTGATCTTTTTTTTAGAACGTGAAAAAATTATCCATTACGGAATTTTTTTCTCTCTAGGTTATAAGGTTACGTTCTAATGAATGCTCAGCACATTGTCAACCGTTTTGCATTTAAAAACATAATGAAAAAAATTACGGTAATAGATAACACTGCACAGCAAATACTTATGAATAACTTAACATAGTTTTGCATTACTTGCAACCCTAAAGTACTTGGGAAATTAAAATAAAATATTATATATACTCAATAATGGATTCTTTTGTTAATTTTGATTTGACATATGAGGGGCCAACATTTTCTGTTTAAAACTTTTTGGAAGAAAGTGAAATGATAGACAGTGAGTGTGCTTCGAAATTTTCAAACAGACCTCCTCAAGTTGGAATGCAGAGTTTTCCTTCTCTGATAGGCTGACATCCAAGGCAAGAGAGCACAGTTTGTCCAACAGATAACTGGTAGAATATAAATTTACGCCTTATTCAAAACATTAGCACAAAGTGAACAAAACAGAATAAACCGGGATTTGAACTCAGCTCGCCGCACATTAAACTTCCAGTTCATACCGGCGTGCGCACACAAAATTGAATAATAATCAACAATAATAAACTATCTTTATATATCCATGCCTGTGAATATATATGAATATAATTAATTATCGTATATACGATTATTTTAATCGGATTAGACATAAAAAAAAGTATGAATGGACCGGTTTGGTGCCATCGCCATTACAACACCACCCGGTCAGGTTTTTAAAGTTATGTTTGAAGTTGACTGACATTTTAAAAGCTAGCAGACGAAAATATCAAACAGTCATTATTTTAAATATTAATAAGCTATTATTTTAAGCTATTATTATATTGAATCTTTTTTTTTGTGTGCGAATTTAAATCGTCTCATTCAGTGTGGAGTTAAATATACTCATTTAGTGCGGACTACTTTCACTTGTGTTCTTCCGGCTGTTTGAAACATGGACACTAGTCGCGCGTTCTTTCTTTTTCTCGTTTGTTTCGGATTCGGGTTTCAAACCTCGAAAGCCGCAGACGATCGGTTCTCCGAAGAACTTTTTATAAAACCTTTGCCAAGTGGCCATATTTACTTCCACTTTCAATTTACCACGCGTTGGGATGTAGATATAAGAAGCAAAGACGAATGTAAGTAATGAATGATTTTTTAGTTTTAGTAAATTAAGTAGTTTAGTTTATTAGTAGACTGAAAAAAAGAAGAACTTAAAACATCTTTTTTTAAAAAAAATTATTTTAGAAAGAATTGGTTAAATTTTCCTTACTGTTGAGTAATTCTGAAATCCTCATTCAAAACTCAATGGTCGTTTCAAAACCATTTCAACAAACCAAAATGCTAAATTACTTTCGTTACATTTTTTTAGTTTACCTCGTCTCATATTTTCAAAATATGAGTTGAGATAAAAATTATACATTCTTTCCCGTCCCCCACATAATGAATTATTATAATTCAGCTTCTGTTTTCAATTAGACATAAAATTTGTAAAATTATAAATGAATAAATGAAAAAAAAAAAAAAAACAAGGATGGATATCTTTTAATTACAATCATTATTGTCACCTGAATGGCTGGAGAATAGATTTGTTAAAAAAAAAAAAAACAAAACAAAAAAAAACGTTGTAGCAAATAAACTCGTTTTGTTTTTATTTATTTATTATTTGTTTTACTAAAAAAAAACAAAAAAACTATCATTTTTTTTTTTACCGAGCGGTTAAAATGATTATATTTACCGAGCTATCACATTTAATTTTTTTTTTTTAAATTTTATTTTAAAAATGAATGTAATGTAGCTTTATATTCCTTTTCTTTATTATTTGTGGCGAATTGCTATACATTTTGGGGAAAAATAGTGGAGGAATGTTTTCCATTGCTTTCTCCATGGTTTGGAATTAAGAATTTTCCTTAGACTGATTTTCATTTTTTTAATTGTTAACACTGTGTAGTTGTAGTACGCTTCTACAGTGTAACCCGGATATAAGAGAATTGTCGGGACCGGAGAAGAAGTCTCTTATATCTGGGTTTCTCTTATATCCGGGTTTGGTCTATTTTATATACATTAACACAGGCTCTAATTTGGGACCAGAGAAAATCTCTCTTATATCCGGGTTACACTGTACTTAAAATGCTATGTCCCTTCAGGATGTAGACAATCATGACTCTTCACATACTCTTTTTCTTCCATACATTTTTTTGAGAAATATAGTGGATTGGTTTCAATTTGCCTTCTATACAGTTTAGAATTCAGAGTTTTCCTTCTCTTGGATTGGTTGTCATTCAAAGATTGTTTAACACGGTATACGCTGCTAACCCATAATTGGAGGTAGATAGATTCATACTTTTCCCAAGGGCATTTTAGTTCTATTTACTAGTGATTTTAATAATCAGTACTTGCTTCTCATTTTGTATCTCTCCCCACAAAAAAAAAATATCCTTATTAATGACTTCTTTCATGTGATACTCAAATTGTGTTCCACACTCATAGCTTTGCAAAAGGTTAAGCAAAGCTTAGTAAATAATACATACCTCTAGAAAATTCTTTTTTTTTATTCTACTGTAATGAGTTTGATCCTCACAGGGAACCTCATACTTAATGGCCTTTTACCAAGTTATTTATTAAAGCAAAAGAAACAAACAGGGAGTAAGCTATTTGATGAATTTTGGGGAATGGATAGCAGAACAAGAACAAACAGGGATGGAAAAGGGGACATAGAGAATTTAACACTCACAGGATATATTGAGGGCAAGAGAAACAGGAGGAAACAGCAAGTAACCTACCTAATAAATGGATGGTAGAACAAGGACATATAATAAGGAAAGAGGGCCTAGAGAATTTGACACCCACAGGATATAATGAAGTCATGAGAGGTAGGGGCTGACAAGTTTGTTTGAATGGCAGAACCTACAAAAAGGGATGCTAAAGAGTGAAAAAGTTACTTAGAGCAACAAAAGACAGGAAGTTATGGAGAATTATGATTGCCTATGGCACATAAGTAAATTTATTAAATCTTGTCAAAAAGAGAAAATCTAACCCTTTAACATTAGACAACATTTCTCATGATTCCTTTTCCAGTATATTTGGTTATTTATTCATAGATTCGCATTGTATGGTCTCTGGATTGGTCACACTTGGAATGTCTTTGATGCTACTTCAGTCTTGTCTCCTGATGAACTGATCAGATTTTCTCTTTGACCTGTGAGAACCCTCTATATCTCTCTTGTTTTAACCATCACTCTGACTTCTGACTCTCACACACTGCGCATCTCTACATTACCAACAACTTCCCATCCAATGGCTCAGAAACTGGCTATTCTAACTGTGACACTGCTCGTGTATATGTAGTAAACACATGTCAGTACAGAAACAAAAGAGGGGATTGTGTGCAGACATGTCTCTCAACACCAGTTACATACAGGTTTTCCTCTGTTAGAAGTAGGACTGCTTGCCATATCTACGTATAGGCCTCTTTGTAACAGGTCTTTGTAAGATGCCTCATGCCGATAAATGCAACAGAAAATGCAGCATTCAACAGCTGGCAAGGCTGTTCTTGTGAAGTCAGTCCTGTGGGCATTTTGTTCCTAAAGTTGCTGCATTTTGAGAGGCAGTATTATTTTGTTACTTCTAGTTTCTTTCCCTTCTCTGTCTATTATGCCAATAGTTCTTGGGAGAGCATTCGGTTAGGTATTTCTTTCAACACACTTTTGCCACACATTGCAACAGTATATCTGCTACTTGACTTCTTGCAAAGTGGCACTTGATCTTGAAAGTTTTCATTTATTTACTCCATTTTCCTTCAGCCAGCAGGTGGTCACTTAGTAGCTCACAACTGTAGAGTTTACTGTTTTCTTCTATGCGCCATTTCCCTTCAGGATGTAGGCGATCATGGCTCTCCACAATTTCCTGTCCTTTGTAGCTCTTAATACATTTTGTCTTTTTGTTATTTCTTCTAAATCCTGTTCTGCCATCCATTTACTCAAATGTACTAAGTAGGTTATGCATTGTTTCCCTCTCTCTTACCTTCAATCTGTACTGTGAGTACCAGATTTTCCAGATCTTCTTTCCTCATCATATGTTCTAGATATTTCAATTGCCTCTTTCTGATGTTAAATAGAAGTATCCTTTTTGTTTCCATTTTCTCTAAAACTTTGTCGTTGCTCACATCTTCAGTTCATGCTATACTCAGCACCCGTCTGTAGAATCACATTTCTTTTGCTTCAAATTTCTTCTTTATTTGTGAGGAGATTGTCCAGCATTCACTACTATATAGGAGGACTGGTATCATGTAACAGTTCAGTTTTTTTTTTTTTTTTTTTTTTTTTTTTTTTTTTTTTTTTTTTTTTTTTTTTTTTTTTTTTTAAGTCCCACTTCTTGACCTTGTGTATATTATAACCTGGTCTCATTGTATTACAAGATTCCCAAAGCTGACATGGTAAAAAGGTTCTCTGTTCCATGCTGTATTGTTGACTACCCAGTAATAGTTGTAGTAACAGTAGGGAAACTCCTAAGTTGTTTTTTTTAAATTTTTTTTTATCAACAGTATACTGTCTGGATGTGCAGGTAGTTTAATGGTTATCAGTATGAAAAGTGGAATTGTTATGCAAAGTTCAAATTGGTATAACAACTGCTCTGTTTTCTTCATTTTGGAACAATGCCCTTGGGAAAGGCAAGAATTTTTCCATTATGGAGCAAGTAGCAGGGCAGATTGAGCTTCCTTGTCTTGAGTAGCAGCCAGTGTAGGTGAAGGGCAACTTTGAATTCAAAACCAACTCAAGGAAGGATGAGTTTTATCAGATTATGTTGTCCTAGGTACACCCACTGCTGGATGTTCCAGGGACCCTGATAAATTAATGGATTTTTTACTCTTTCATGCTAAAAGTAAATTTTATTTCAATATTTCCAAACTATAATGACCTTGATTGGCTGAAAATAACTGTAAAGAAAGTCCTAAACAAATAAATGAAAGAAAACACAAAGATATTTATAAAGAAAGAAAGAGATTGTCAGTGATCAGGAATTAATACAACTGTTCTTGAATAACTAGAAATATTCTATGTATAATAACATTACCAATTGGTTTTATGATAGAGCATTGTAAAAGAGGAAGGAAATGATTGTCAGTGGTCAGGATTTTTTTTATAATCATATCATTCCAAGTAAAGTGATAATGCCATTAAAATGCAAGCAGTTACTAAGAGTGTAAAAAAAAAAAATAAGTAGACTTTAGAAGGAACTAAAAACCCAATCCTAAATGGGGAAACTAGGGATAAACCTCTCCTCCTGTTCAAAAAATACTGGGAAGGAGTGTGAACTGGATTACTGATAGAATAAGGTTAATATATAATTTTTAAAATTAAAATTTTTTTTTTTTTAAATTAGTATCACTCCATGCAAGGCAGTGAAGCCACTAAGACACAAGTTGTTACAGGGTATGGAAGAATTAGGAACAGAAACATTTATAATGAGCAGGAAAAGGAAAGAGTAATCAGGAGAACAGTAGATAGCTATTGACATTGCATTTAAATTTTTGCTGGTTAAAGTTAGCTTGAAAGCATGGACCCGGAAGGGAGTTCCACAGGTGAAAAATGTGAGAAAAGAAACTGCTAGCATAGAACCTATGGCTACATCTAGCCAGCTCAACTGTAAATTGATGAGATCTCAATGTCAGTCTAGTACTGCGCTTAAATTCATAATTCATACCATAGCGAAGAGCTCATCCGAACATAGAGAGAGAGGCAACGTTATGGTGGTGGGAAAGTGACTGAAGACTAGCCGCCAGATCAGGACTATATATATGATGTAAATGTATTGAAAATCAGATAATTGTTGTTGCCAGTTAATAATTGAGTTATTTTATCAAGACATATGAAAAGTGGATTCATGCCTTTTTTTTTTTTTTTTTTTTTTGCAATTGGGATTTGAACTTGTTTCACTGAATCCATTTTTTCTGCTTATAACCATTACATGATTTACCTTTATGCACTAGAATGTATTGGAGCCCTAAAGGCTTTTCTCCATCCATAAGGCAATATTTCTTTGGAAGGGAGCTTGTGTTAATCTTTAAACTCTGAAGTATCCCCATGTGTGGAAGTGCTGAGGAGGCTCAAGCAATTTTTGTCTTAGCCCCCTGTAAACC